GTGTGTGTGTGTGTGTGTGTGTGTGTGTTTGCTATAGGGCCCATGCACTTATAGGAGAGTGAGGGACCAAGAAATCACCCTCCAGGGGATATGGTCATGCCACAGTCCCTTCTCCTCCATTCTCCTCCCAGGATTTTGGGCATACATACACATGTACACGTGCCTAGTGTCATTTCAAGTTGCCAGGCCCAGGAATCAAACCAGAGTCATCTATGTGGGATCCAGCTGCCTTAGCCTCCACGCCACCTGGCTGGCCTGGCGCTATGGGGCCAAGTCTTTTTTTTTTTTTTTTTGAGAGGTTTTTGCTATAGGGCACATGCTCTCGCCGGGAAAAGAGAGAGAGAAAGAGAGAGAGGGAGGGAGAGGGTGAGAAATCACCCCCCAGGGTGGATGGTCACACTGCAATCCCTTCTCCATTCTCCTCTTGCGATCTTAGGCATGCATACACATGCACCCGGTGTGAGTTTAAGCCAGGGTCCAGGACTCAAACCGCAGTCAACTACATGGGAGTCTAGTGACATAGCCATTATGCCAACTGCTGGTCCCTAGGGGGCCAAGTCTTTAGCTGAGATTTAAAGTCTCTAAGATGGAGCCTCAACCTATCTTTTTTTAAAAAATAATTATTTAATTTATTTATTATTATTCCTCATTCTAAACAGAGAAAGCAGAGACACAGAGAGGGAGAGTGAAAAGGTGAGCCGCCAGGTTTGGACTCAAGCTATAGTCAACTAAGCGGGAATCCAGGGCTCAATCACCATGCCACCTGCTGGCCCCTTGTCCCAACCTATCTTTTCATAAAAGAATTATTTTATTTAACTTTATTTATTTATGTACTTATTTTAATGTAACCAGATTGGGACAGAGTAAGGGTGACAGAAAGAGGGAAAGTGAGAAAGCAAGCTACCAGGTCTGCCACATGGTTGGCCATGTGGGAGTCCAGCACCCTTAATCACCATGCCTCCTGCAAGCCCCAGCCCCAACCTATCTTAAAAAAGGCTTTTAAATGCCAGAGGCCATGTGCACTTGCCAGGGACAGAGAAAGAGGGAAAAATGCACCTGCCGGGCAGTGGTCATGCCACAGTCCCTTCTCAATTTATCCGTCTAGTTTGAATTTTAGGGCATGCATTTATGCACACATGTCCGGCATGCTTTTCAAACCTCCAGGCCCAGGATTTGAACGTTAGTAGGCCATGCTAGACCTAACTTCCTTAGCCACGAGGCAACAGGGCCAGCCCACCTCCAAACCTACCTTTCCAGCTTTGTTTCCTACATTTGCACCAACAGGACTTCTGGTCACTTCCTGAACTGTCTCATGCTGCTCTCCTCCCATCTCCTGCCCTGTTTGCTCACGTGTGTGTCTCCTCTCCACACCAGTAACCATCCAGAATCCCAGCTCCTCTCTCAGGACCGTCTGGGAAGACTGCCCTCCTATACAGTCCCTCCTAATTCCTCCTCAATCCCTAAGAAGATACAAGCTGAGGTCTCAAACCACTTGGCTTTACAGCTGCCCAGATATTCACTCTATTAACGTAACTGACTCATCTCACTTTCTCCCTGCAGTTCTCATAGCACTGAGCCTGGTGCCCTGCTGACTGACCGGGTTCACATACGGCTTCTACTAAGAGGTACAGGGTATGCCAAATCCTTAAGAGTATCTTATTTTCATCACTCCCCTATTCTTCATTCACCTTACAGGCTGTACTGACTATTCCACATCATATGTGTGCTCCAAAGAGCTGAGCACACCACTGCAGAAAGTCTCACTGGGCACTGGAAATACAAAGCTACATGAGAGGTCCCAAGGTCAGGGGACCTCTGTTGCAGGTTGCAACAGAAAGACCCTCTGGGGTCTGTTTTCAGTGAGTTTGAAGACAGACATTTAAAAGTATTGACACCATCATCAGCATTTCATGAAGGAAAGATAATACCATCAGGTCTATTACCTGATAAGATTGCATTGGACCAAAAAAAAAAAAAGGATTGCATTGGAGAATAAGCTTTGATTTTTGGTCCCAGTCTATGCTTAGAATAAGACTCTGACCACAAATCAGAGCCTTATTCTCCAATGGGAGATGCCCACTGGGGTCCTGGCACTTCGAGCACATGCACTTATAGAGGATACCTGTCCTCGGATGTGCCACGCTCCAATAGCAGGGGTTGTCCAGGACTCCCAGGCCAGCCTCTAGAAAGCAGGCAAAGGCCCTGACTAACCTGCATTTGCTACGCAGAGGCAGGACTAGGCAGGTCTGACTTTATCAGGGGACATGCAAACACTACAGTAGAGTTACAATTTCTTTTTTTTGAGAGGTTTTTGCTAAAGGGCGCGTGTGCTCACCAGACAGACAGAGAGAGACATAGGGACAGAAAGCGAGAAATCACCCCCAGGGGGGATAGTCACGCCGCAATCCCTTCTCCTCCATTCTCCTCTTGGGATTTTGGGCACACACGCACACGCGCCCGGCATGAGGTTTAAGCCACCGGGTCCGTGAAGCGAACTGCGGTCGACTATGTGGGAGTCCAGCGACATAGCCATTACGCTAACTGCTGGTTCCCATGGAGTTACAATTTCTAAACAGAGGCTGAAATGTCAAAATTTGAAATTTTTGAGCACCGGAATGATGTCACCAGTGGAAAATTCTACACCTGACCTCATAGGATAGGTCAAAATCCTAAAGTATGAAAATACTAGACAGAAATACCTTCAGGCTACTTAGGAGAAATAAATGAATTTCATGTTTAGACCAGAGTACCACCCTCAAAATATCTCAACACACACAAATACTTTCCAAAATCCAAGAAATTGTGAAACCCCAAATACTTCTTGTCCCAAGCATTTTGGATAAGGGATACTCAGCCTCTACTATCTCCTTAATGATCCTTTTTAAATTTAAGTTTTCAACTGTCACTTAAAGCTAATCTAATTCCTTTGAAATTAAAAAAAAAAATTCAAGTAGATATGCTAAAATACCATTTTCTTATCATGTTAAAGAATTTCCACTCAGTTTTACCAAGCTTTGTATTAAACTATACATTTATAAAACTGCTAGCAGAAGACTGGGCCCTATTTACTTGATCTGTAAATTAACCACTATACTTTGAGAATATGAATTTTCAGGCCATTTCTTACCTTGATCCAATGACATCAAAAAGATGTTGCCAACGGTCATTAATTTTGTTGAGCTTGTCATCGATCTCGGCTGCTCTAGTCTTGTTGCTGGCCTTCATCAACTGGTCACCCATTTGCTTTAACTGTAACTTGTTTTCACTGAACAAGTTTATTTCTTCCATGCAGTCCTGGCAAAGTGACCAAAAGACAATGTTGAAATTACTGCCCAAATTCATTTCTTCTCCAGCCACAAGCACATAGTTGCCTCTTGTAATTTTTTGAAAAATATTTTAAAATTCTCATACCTGTTCATGCAACTCTTTACTGAGTAGCTAAAAAGTCATGCAATGCTTACTACGCAAATGTGAAATATGCAAGAAACAGTAATTACCTTCTTAATTCATTAACCCCTCTGATTCTTCCAAATCAAGCCTACCTGGGAGCTGAGGACAACTGGGCCTAACTCAATTAACCTAGTATCAGTATTTCTGAGATTTGACTGGTGGTTTTTAAATTTAATTTAAATTTTCTTATTTATACTTATTTATTGTATATCTTTATGGGATACAATATGATTTTTCAAAGCATGAATGCAATATATGATTACTAAATCAATGCTGTTGCCATATTCTCCATCTTTAACAAAAATCATTATTTTATGCACTTTTGATTTTCATTCTACTAAGATTTTTGCGCCTTTTTTCCTGTTTTTTTTTTTTAGTGATTACAGCAAGAATTGCCCTTTCCTATAGGGATTAGTGACCATTTCAAAATCATGAGCCTCACTGCTGTCTGACCTTTCCCCTTTGGCAAGGGGAACCCCATAATAATGGTAGCAACTAAAAACCCAAAACATGTTTGGGTTATGAACTAATCCTTAAGATGTGATCACTGGGACCAGAAGATGGCATAATGGTTACACTGCTGGACTCCCAAGTAGATGACTGTGGTTCGAGTCCTGGACCTGGGCTGTTCGCTTAAAACCCACCGGTTTTTGCCCAAAAAAAAAAAAAAAAAAAAAAAGATCCTCTATTTTGGACAGACTTTCTAACCAAGAGAAAGCAATTCTTTTTTTTTTTTTTCTTTCTTTTTGGAGAGGCTTTTCCTATAGGGCGTGTGCGCTCGCCAGAAAGAGAAACAGAGAGAACGCAAGAAATCGCCATGCAGGGAGATGGCCATACCACAATCCCTTCTCCTCCATTCTCCTCTTGGGACCTTGGGCACACACTCACATGGTGTGAGTTTAAGCCACCAGGTCCGGGACTCGAACCACGGTCAACTACATGGGAAGCCAGCAACATAACCATTACGCCAACTGCTGGTCCCGAGAAAGCAATTCTTCTCAGTACCATGTCCATCCATAATAGTCTCATACTTCAGATCTCCCTGAATCTTCTTTTCCAACTTGTTCTCTTAGTAGGATCAAAAATATAAAAAAAGTCCTTTTAAATTTCTTTTGGAGAGGTTTTTGCTATAGGGTGCGTGTGCTTGCCAGACAGACAGAGAGAGATAGAGAGACAGGAAGCGAGAAATCACCCCCCCAGGGGGCATGGCCACACCGCAATCCCTTCTCCATTCTCCTCTTGGGATCTTGGGCACGCATGCACATGCGCCCTGCATGAGTTTAAGCTACCGGGTCCAGGACTCGAACCGCGGTCGACCACGTGGGAGTCCAGCGACATAGCCATTATGCTAACTGCTGGTCCCAAGTCCTCTTAAATTTCTAACATGTGGGGCCAGACAACAGTTCAGTGGTAATAACACAAGCAGACCCACATGGGAAGGCCCTCGGTTTATATCCCAAGACCTCCCTCTCCATGCCAGGCATGTGGATGCCCATGATCTAGCCTGGCTGAGCCTGAGGGAGGATCATAGTGCAAGACCCTTTGCAGGTGTCTGTTTCTCTCTCCCTCTCAGTAACATTATTCCTCTTTGAGTGTGGCAGTAAGGAGGGCAGAGAGTTCTGTGGTAGTCATAACACAGCCACCTGGGCACCTGGCTTACCTTCTGTAACTTTTCAATCATTTCTTCAATACTAATATCCGCTGTCTGTAGAACTTTGTTTTCCATCTGCACCAGCCATGCACACAGCTCTTTATTTTTTTCATTGAACACAATCCACGAATTGAGTCTGTCCTCAATCTCCTGTTTGCGTATAGCCACCTGTGAGTGAAAATGCAGTGGACAGCTGAGTATAGCCAGGGAGGAAAGGGCTTCCACCCCTCCTGCCCCTCGAAGACTGAATTTCATTCATCTGAATCAGGGGTCCTGTAGACTTAAATCTCTTGTCTTTGCCTCTTGAAAAGCAAGTGCTTAACATCAAACATAAGTTCTTTACACTTTTGATAAAAGGTAAGAAAACGAAAGTACACTTACCTGATTAAAAGGATGCAGTTTTACCTATACATATTTATTACTATCAGGCTATATTAAAAATTAGGAACAGGAGGGAACCAGCAGTTAGCGTAATGGCTATGTCGCTGGACTCCCACGTAGTTGACCGCGGTTCGTGTCCCGGACCCGGTGGCTTAAAACTCACGCCGGGCGCGTGTGCATGCGTGCCCAAGATCCCGAGAGGAGAATGGAGGAGAAGGGATTGCGGCGTGACCATCCCCCCTGGGGGGCGATTTCTCGCTTTCTGTCTCTATGTCTCTCTCTGTCTGTCTGGCGAGCGCACGCGCCCTACAGTGAAAATCTCTCCAAAAAAAAAAATAGGAACAGGAAAGGTTAGATAAATATGTAGAGTATCATCCACATTAGTCTGCTCCTTGGGTTTTTTTTTGATATGCATTTATTGACTGCTTACTAACTTATGACTTTTTGACCCAAATCTTTTTCCTCTTACACACTGATCAAGTTCTGGTATCTACATTAGGCTGATGTCCTGCATATTTTATTTAAAAACTAGATCAAAACATAAATCAAAGATCAGTAATACAAATACATCAGGAAATTAAAGTCATGTAAATGTTCTAGTGTTAAACTTCAAAACAAAACCAAATACAATGAACCCTACTCATTTAACCCAGCTTCCCATTACACACTGTGGCTTTTGGAAGTCATGGAAATGTTACCCAAAACTTGCAACAAGCGAGCTGATCCCCCAAAACCCAATGTTCTTTTATGTATAAGCAACCCCCAAGCCAATGTCAATGAAGGATTCTCCTCCTTATAGGGTTAAAATCTGTAACTTAAATAAATGATACATTTTAATAAATTAGCCTTACTTAAAAGTACAAAAGTATTCCTAGGTCTTAAAAATCTTTAAAACTAGAACCAGCAGGTAGTGTGGTGGTTTGAGTCCCAGACCTGGAGGCTTGCTTTCTCACTTTCCCTCTCTCTGTCTCTCTGTTTGGTGATAAAATTAATAATAATAATAATAAATAAAATTAAATCACTATTTTTTTAAAATGTTTAAAACTCTTGGAGTCAAAAGGGATTAATAGCTGAGAGCTCTTCTGGTCAAGTTTTAAAACCCCACATTATAAACAGGAGAACTAAGATCAAACTGCCCGAGATTTCCTGTTATGTACAAAAAATTTTACTCTTTGCAGAGTGATGCCAAAATATCAAAAGCTCTTACATTTTACCAAATGTATTAAAAAGGCTTGGAGAACTATCCCTAAATAAACAAGTTTTGCGTTTTCATTCCTCAGGGCATCTATTGATCTTAGCTTTTAAATTTCTGGCATCTGATTGGTTTCATGACGGTAACAATTAGGAACATCTGGGGCCCGAGTCTTAGCGTTTACCTTAACTTTTAGGATACTTTTCACATACTCTAAACAGTTTTTCTCATATAAAATTGGAATAAAAATTGAAAAAGTACATTTAAAATTAGAGTACACTGTAAATATTAAATAGTAAAATTTAGCAGGAAAAAGTGTTCCTAGTGTCTGAATCTCCTTTTTAAATATATCTCTTCTTAATTCCTAAAAATGAGATTAAGGAGTTTGCTTTCCCAGGAATTACAGTCTTAAAACAAAGATCTTTAAGGCTATTGGCACCATTAATTCCATCCTGATCCTGTCACAAGCATCTACTGTATAATACTCTAGCCATAATCCCATTTTTCACAAGTAGAATTGATCCACTGAGACACTAAATTCAGCAGCTGATCATTTCTTCGAGATTTAAAAAACAAAAACAACTACTAGAAATAAACATCAAATGGCCTGTGAAGACAGCCTTCTATAAAATGCCTCCATGCCTGCCAGGCCCTACAGAAGACTCCTGCTCTTAGGTTCAGAGGAGATTGTGCAGTAACGCCAAAAACCAATCTCATCACTGAGTCCCAATTTTAATACCCTACTTAGCACTGACCAGGTACAGGAGCCGCAGAGCGTAGTCCACACGTCTGCGCAGGGCTGCAGTTCTGGCCTCCACGGAGAATGTTTTTTTAAAAACTCATTTTAATTGTACAAAGTTCTAGTGCTACAGAAACAAAAGAGTCAAATCTGTTAAACCAAGTTGCTCTCTTTGAAGAAGCAGCGGCCAGCCAGGGGTCCTACTGAAAAGGACCTCCAGTTCAACGAAATTAAGCTCCTTTCCACTTTGTCTGGCCTGTGGAGACATTTCAATCAATTCCCAAACAGCCGTGCCCTGCAGTTAACTGACTTACTCTTAAGCAGAGATCCTCCCATTGTCTGTGCAAGTGCTCTATTTGCTCCTGCAAAACCATCACGTCTTCTCCAAGAACGTGCCGGGTTAAGTCAGTCTTCATAGTTTCAAGTTCTTTCAAGTTCTGAGTCCAGTTAGCCAAAGACTTTTCCAGCTCCTGCATTTAAACACAGAAGGGGGGGAAAGGCCTTCAACTCAAGCTGCTGTTGTTTCCAAACCTGTAGGCTAATCCTTTGATTAGACTCTGGGGGAGGGGAGGCCAGGCCAGGGGGTGGGGCCTTCCCAATGAGAAACAGCCCCTGGCTAGCGCCTGCAGTCCTGGTTGGCTAGTGATTGGGCACCTTTTCCTCCAAGAAAAACCCTTTTGAACCTTTATTTTCACTTCCTCAGGTAGTTCAGATTTTTACACACGCAATCCTATTTTAAAGTCAGACCTTTAGGTAGACGAAGTATCTTTACCTGTAGAGGAAAGTGTTATTTGAATGACAACCACACACACACACACACACACACACTTTTAATCCTGACACTACGTTACAGATCAATTCCATAAAGTGTAATTTTCTATTTCAAAAACTACTCACGAAATGCACCTCTGCTACTGCAGCAAGCATATAGAAACTTCTGTTCAAAGATACAATTTTTTGGTTAACTTTTGAAAAGAATGAGTACAATGAAAGAAAAAAAAATTGCTTCCTAATTATTGGCAGAGACAAGTTAGCAGACAATTTCCTCTGGCATGGAAACATGTCTCTTTCAAATGAACTATCTGTCCAATTAAAACTTTCTGTACTCTAGGATTTAATCAAGAAAATAATTTTCACAACAGAGGAGGCCAAAGGAAACAGCCCGAACATTTAAGAATCCTCCAGGTTTTCATTGTGCTTACAATTCTTCCCTTGGCACATTTCAAGGGTCTTCATTCCTGTCAACTGCAATCTGAAAGAAGATACTATGCCTTTTCCCATTTCATAACCAACAAGAATGTGCATTTAGTAACATGGCCAGGATTCCTTTGTCTTTTTTTTTTTTTTAAGGTTTGGCTCCACTGGGAGAGACAGAGACAAACAGAGAGGGAAAATAAGAAATCATCCCCCAGGGGAGAAGGTCATGCAGCAATCCCTTCTCCTCCACTCTTCCTCTTGGGAGTTTGGGCATGCACACACATGTTCCTGGCATGATTTTCTTTTCTTTTTAATTTTTTTTTTTAAGAGAGATTTTTGCTATAGGGTGTGTGTGCTCACCAGATACCAAGAGAGAGAAAGAGACAGAAAGCAAGAAATCACCCCCAAGGGGGGATGGCCATGCCGCAATCTCTTCACCTCCATTCTCCTCTCAGGATTTTGGGCATGCGTGCACACATGCCCAGCATGAATTTTAACTGCAGGGTCCAGAACTTGAACTGTGGTGGACTACGCAAGAGTCCAGTGACATAACCATTACGCCATCTGCTGGTCCCTGTCTGGCATGATTTTCAAGCCTTTGCGTTTGGGATTCGAACCATGGACCAACATGTGGGAGTCCAGTACTTAACCACCACGCCACCAGCTAGCCCCAGAAGAATTCTTTTTAGAGGCTGCATGGAGATTAAGAAATAACACCTTGGAAACAGCAGGTGGCATAATGGTTACATTACCGGGCTTCCATGCAGCTGATCATGGTTCAAGTCCCAGATCCAGTGACTTAAAATTCATGCCGGGCACATGTGCGTGCATGCCCAAAATCCTGAGAGAAGAATGGAGGAGAAGGGATTGAAGCATGGTCATAACCACTGAGGAGTGAGGTCTTGCATTCTGCCTCTCTGTGATACAGAGCATTAAGCGTGAATCTTGTAAGAACCCCACTCACTCACTGAAAATGAAGGAGATCTAAAACCGCTGAGCTTCATACAGTGTTTCCTGCTCAGGGCCAGGAAACAGCCTGCCCAGGGCCCCGCTCGGAGGTGTTGGCTTGATGTCTGCACAGCCACAGGCATGCCTGAATTACCCACACCCAGCTTTAGATCCGTGTGGCTTAGATACCCACAGTACTTGTAATTAAAAGGTGTAGAACTTTTGAAAATGGATGTTTTATGACTTTTAATAAATTTTGTTAAACTGTGTCCTCAAAGGACCATTTAT